AGAGAGAGAGAGAGACGATGGCCAACATGGGAGCAGCAACTGTTGCATTGGATGGGAGGGACATCAGCAGGTTCATAACATCCACCATTGGCAGCTTCACACAAGATCACCTCCTCGACCGCGATCAGCGCCTACGCCACAAGGACCACTGTGCGGAGCGCCTTGCTGCCCAAGACACCCATGACGCCACAGAAGTCAACTATGCTGACCAAGCAGTCCTTGCAAACCTGGATTGGGGAATCGACGCAATCGAAGAGGCAATTTCAACTTCTAATCCTGAGGCCAAGCTTGCACGTCTTGACCATGCTGAACGCATGCTCCATGTTTGCGCGATGCTTCATTCATCGCGCTCCACGGCTGGTGTCCCCAACTCATATCTCTCGGCATGGGCCCACCTAAACCTTGCATTTGTGTGGAAGCTCAGAAACAATCTCCACAACTCAGCAATGCACGCGCTGGAAATATTTATTGTGGACCCATTTTTTGGGAGGGTCGATTTTGCGCCTCAGCTCTGGGAGGCGCTCTTTATGCCCCATATGGGCTCACTTGCAGGCAAGGCTTTTCCCTTTTCTAATGAAAGAAAATAATGCTACTATCGGCTGTTATTGCAGTAATAAGGGTAAGGCATTCATGTTTTTGAACTTTGATATAAGGGCACTGCTCTTAGCACCTATGGCTTTGCTATTTAAACCAAACACAAACTGGCGTGAGTTTCCACCCATATACATATTATAGCAACTTCATGGGTGAAGATAGCAACCCTCTAGAAGATTTAACTGATCAATATAATGGCCTTATCAAGTAACAATAGAATGGAACATTACAGCCAAGAGCAATCAATAACACAATATTTTGAACCATGATTACAGGTTGGTACGCAGAGGGAAGGCATAGGATTGTAATAGAGGTGATTCCTGATTCTGCTGATCTCTCTTTTACTGCTGATTTAGAGCGGTTTTTTGAGGAGTCATTGGTGGTGGGGATGAGGCCTGATCAGGCTGAGAAGCTAGAGCAGCTAGAAAGAGATTATGCAGAGTGTTTGGATGAGCACACAAGGCTTTATGCGAGGTATTTTAAGGAGTGCTTGTGTTTTGATCCAACAGCTGGGCGGAAGGGGATGCCGATGATGCCCATTGCAGAGCCACCGATGACGCCATTGCATGAGGTCAGCAGGGCAATTCCAAAAGCTGTGAGGTTCGGGCCACTCCTACCAAAGAGTGCTGGCTTCTCTTTCTTCTCTGATAAGAAAGAGAGTGAAAGGAGGTAGGTGTATACTTACCTGTCCAGCTAGCTTTTGTTTTTTAATTATTATCATTATTATTAATATTATTACTGTTCTCCTTATTATTGCTGCTACTACTGCTGCTGCTATTCCTACTACCACTACCACTACCACTACCACTACCACTACCTATTACTGCTACTTCTATTGCTGCAGCAGCTGCTGCTGCTGCTACCACCACCACTACTACTATCACTTCCACTAACACCAAAACTAATACTATTTTTGTTATTTTGGCTGTCTTAGAGGAATGGTGATGAAACTCTCTTTACAATATCTCCTCACTGTTTTTGCCGGAAGTTTTTCATAGCTAGTTTTTCTTGACTGGGTTTGACTGCTAAGATTGGTGCTGTACAAGTTTGGATCGTAAAGAGTTTATTTATTTATTTATTTTTCCAAGGAACCCAGAATGATAGAGTTGCCATGTATATGTGACTTGCTTCTTTTTTCCTAATAATTTCTTCATTCAGCCAAGAGAAATCATGAGATGGAACTGTCATAAGTTTTCTATGTCTGGAGTTTTTTATCTAATTTGGCAAATTTCAAATATAATTGTACCTTAGAACAGCAGCCCATGGGTATGAGGGAGTGCATTTGGAGTAGTGTTAAAAATTCAAAGGCTTCCCATTTCCTCCTTTTCTCGTTTTACTTTTATATAAAACTTCATGTAAGAATGGGCTTAAGTGTTAAGCAGAACATTATAAGTGACTCAGTGAATACTTAAAATTTTCATTTTGATGTACAGTTCCAGTGGATCCACAAAAGATGACGAACCAGCTAACCTAGATGACAAGGTAATGTTCTGTAAATACAGTTCACCCCTACATTTCCATGTGATTCTCCTTACTTTGCATTGTGGCTTTTTGGTCCAAATGTCAGGTCTTGGATGAAGAAAATGATCAGGAAGATTCTACTGAGTACCAGATACACATGCAAAATAATAATACCATAGTCTATCAAGATAATGTAGAGATGGGTTCTGAACTCAAGTCTCTGAAACAAGTCGCTCCTACTCGAACAAGTGAAGACATTGGTAGTGGGTCTAGAATGCAAAAACTTGGCTGTTCTCCCAAGGACTTGTCTCCAATGGATACCCCTAAAGCCCCTTCCCTTGACGTTCCATCTCCAAAACGAAGCCCTTCCCCAAAAGTCCCATCTCAAAAGCAAAACACTTCCCCATCTCTAAAACAAAGCCCTAATATATACACCAAAGAACCAGAAAAGATCATACGGTTCCTCTCCACTCGTCTTTCCAGTTCTGCTCTCTCTTCTTCCTTACCGGCATCCCCGACTTGCAACGATTCCAGCATAAGCTCTAATGGATCTGAAGTGGAAGACAAGGTATATCTCTTCATTAAACTACGGATTTGACCGAAGTTGAAAACTGAATGGTATTTTAACAGTCTCCTCCTACAGACTCTGTTTCAGGAAGTCCAAAGGAGTAGCAGAAAAGATATTAGCAGTAAAAGGAGTTTGAGTTTTGGCATCTCAAAGACCCAACTGCCTGAAAGTGGGTATGAGTATACACCTTTATTGTTTTTCTACCTTTCATATGCAAAATCCAAGTGCAACAATCGAGCCTTAACTCTTACAGAAGTATTTCACCACAATTCCATTTTCTACATCTATTCACATCCAACGCGCATAACATTTTCCAAATGTATGTCATATATACAAATTTAATTTTACTCGCATAGCTTGCCATATACAGATGAGCAGCAGTCTCCCTGTAGGTCACATGTTCGAAGTTGAAGCAAGATACGCAGGGAGCTTCTTGTAGGGAAAGAACAAGATGAAGCCAATTAGGTTGGAGAAATGGTTGGCCATTCATAGTAAAAAATTTGAGTGAAGGGAACAAGGATTATGTGAGAGAATACTAGAAACAGTTATGTTTTGCAATCAGAGCTAGAGAAGATGCGACACTTCTTTCAATTAAAGAAAAGACAATAGTACCCTCAAATATTTAATAAGAAATGTATCTCCCGAGACTGTCTCCACACCTCAAATTATACTCATACAGACGAGAAACGATTCGTCCCATACTACATACTTGAGTTACAATGTACATCCTTCAATTTCTCTTCTTGTACCATACCACTCCATGCCACTCATCACCATTAAACAGTGCAAACTGACATCCTTTTTCTCTTCACATACTATAGCACTGTTTGATTTCCAGGCTAAATAGCAATTTGGGCCAATTTAAAATTGTCACTTGCATTTAATGTCAAGGGGTTTTTTAATTTCACAGTTAAATTAATTCAAAATTGCAATTAGGCCCCCAAATTGTTTCACATTTGCAATTAGGTCCCCAAATTGGATTTTCTTCAAAACCACATGAAATCCCTCTCTCTCTCTCTCTCTCTCCTCCCCCTCCCCACCC